TGTATGTATGTATGTATGTATGTATGTATGTATGTATGTATGTATGTTATATTATTATAAATATATTATTATAAATATATTATATCCTGCTGTTTTCTCTACATGTTCCAGGGTCCGTTAGGTGCTGAGGGCAACACTGGCATCAAGGGACTTATGGTAAGGTTGTGTGATGCTGACTGACTAGTGGTTGATGACATCATTCCTTTAGCACTACTTTTTTGTCTTTTGCCAAAAAACCTGTAAGGTTCAGTGCAATAAAAGCACATTAGTTTTACAAGGCATTCCAGGATAGAACAATGGGGAGTTTTATAGATCAGTTGGCAGGCAATAAAGAAATCAACAAACACACACAAAAAAAAGGGAAAAAACTATGATAAGACAGGACAGAACCTGCCATCAGCCACTTAAACACATGTGATTAGGGGTGTTGAAAGGGTTGTGTTTGTCAGTTAATACCTTGGACACATAAAGTGTGAGCACTGAACAACCTGCTGTATTAACCCCCACTGATCTGCAAGGATTTTCCACAATCCCAGGTTCTGTTGTTTTCTTTCATTAAGACACCAATTCAGTTCAATAAAGCCTTTGGATAGCCAGGAATCTTATAACTTGATTAGTCAGAACACTGACTGATGGTTTTGGTAATTTCCTCATTCAGTCTCATGTACAGAGTGTTTCAAGTCATACATGGACTGCTGTTTAAAACGATCTGGTCCTATGCTTTGAATATCTTTTAGCAAACCTGTTAGTCCACTTCCATAAAAGAACAGACTGAAACCTCATGATTTGTTTCAGAAGTCTTGAGAAACCTGGATGTGCTCTCCTAGAGGCCAAGCTGTTCTGGAGCTGCTGCTTTGCCACATTGTTATATGCTCAAGTTAACAATGAAATTCTTAAATAAAATACCAATCCATTTTCTTTCGTGACATTTACATAGAAGCCTCATGAACCCCATTTACTGAAATGGCCAAGAAACAATTAACTGCCAAGTAAATTACTGAATCAGCTCTTTTCTACCCCTAATTTAACAGCTCACTGCATCTGTCAATTCTGAAAAATGAATTACAGTTTGATTTAAATGTCTGCTTTTGATAATTAGTATGCAGTTGTTCTTCTTCTCCTAATCTTTCATTTCTTTTTGTAATTTTCCAGGGTGTTCAGGGCATTGCTGGGGAGAGAGGAACAGATGGCCCACCAGGTTCAGCGGTATGTTTTGTTGTAACTTTATGTTAATGCCACTGAAGGATAAACAGATATGGAATGAATGAATGAATTAATACCTTTGTTGGCAGTGAACCAGCATCCCGGTACAATGAAATTGTCTCAGTACAACCCATTCAAGATCAGATAGACATCCGCAAATACATGATTAAAGGATAATATCAGGAAGCTATGTCCCCCAACTGGGGTCATAGCAGTGGTTTGAAAAATGTTTTTTTTTTAAATACGAAGTACGAATAAGAATAAATGCACTTTTTTGGAGACAAAGCAGCCAGCTAGGACATCTGTTTGAGAAAAACAGAACCTCTGAAGCCTGCATCTCAAATAAGTACAACCGATAATATTGAAAATCTGTATCTCATGGAGACTAATTTAGCATATGCTGCTTTAAAGAAAAACCCAAAACTGAGCTGAATTTCTGTGAAATGGGCACTGAACATTATACTTGTCTGTTGTTGGTCAACGCCCACATTAACAGCAACATTTGATGAGAAAACCAAAATACATAAAGAATGTGTATTCATTTTGATATTGCAAGCTGTGCTAAATAAATGGTTTCCCAACTCAAGGGCATTGCAAACCTAACCAATAATGCAGAGCAAAAGAAAGCAGGTTTACACTGTTATATAGTGTTCAAAACAAATCACAATTATAACAATTTTAATTCATAACTGTTGTTGTGATTGGAGAACTGGGACCTTTCTGTGGGCAGTTTTCATGTTCTCCCTGTGCATTCACGGGTTCCCCCTGGGTATTCAGGTACATCCAAAAACATACCTGTTATATTAGTTAGACATATTAAAGATTGCCCCCAGGGGTGAATGTGTGTGGTTGTTTGTGTCTCTGGCCCCGGAATAGACTGGTACCCTCTCAAGGGTGTATCCCACCTCTTGCCAGTTTTCAGTTGGGACAATCTCAGGCCCCCTCGTGTCCCCATTGGGAATAAACAGTATGGAAAATGGATGAATGGATTGATAATTCATAGTTGTGATCTGTTTTGTACATTGGCAACTGCTGGCTGCTATGTCCTAGCTGTCCTAGCTGGCTGCTTTGTCTCCAAAAAAGTGCATTTATTTGCAAATAAATCAGACGTTCTTCCTACTTTATCTCATGCTAAGCCAAAAGTATTCTTATTTTTCACTATTGCCATGGTGTTTAGGGTGATGAATTATATCCAGTTCTGCAAGCCTGACTGTTTGATCCATTAAAAACATTGATGTATCGGTTAAGCCTTAAGTGATAGTTTTTGTCTGACAGGGACCTCCTGGGAAGACAGGCCCCCCAGGTTCACCAGGGCCACCAGGAAACAAGGTGCTGACTCAAATATGAGTCATGGATTTAATTATTTTGACAGGTGTATGTTATATTATTTTTAGATTGCTGTGATGCGTTATGTAAGTATGTACTTGTTTTCTCAGGGTTTTATAGGGAAGCCAGGCACGGAAGGAGCTCAGGGCCCAGTAGGCATGTATGTAAGTGATTCTTCGGCATACTTAAACCATGTTAAATACCTTGCAGATCTTAGAAACATGTATTTCGCAACTGAAAAACCTTGAATAAAAACAACATTGACAGAAACTACCAGCAGAAAGCTTTTACTCAGGTAAATCTTGATGGTTTTCGAAGTATAGCTGAGATGCTATCCATATCAAACCAGAAAAGGAGTGCAAAAGAATCGACAATTCAAAACATAATTTCTTTTCATTTGTGTTTTGCTGTCATTTGTTTCTCTTTGTTTTTGTTTTTAAATCATATATCATAAGTGCCCTAAAATGATCTTTTTTGCACGAGACAGACACATTTTCTAACTACGTAGATTCTCAGTTCTGCATTAAAAATGAAACTTCAGAAGCTACAGCATTACCAAAATTTGTATGTATGCTTTTTTTAGGCTTCCTAAGATGAAAATGACATTTTTATTTGTGATTAATTTGTTACTTGTGGATTGCTGTTACTGTCCAAGGTAGCAAAACTAAATAATCTACTCAATGAAAGTAGATATTGTCTTATTGAACTTTGTCTAAGGCTCGGAAGCTATGATTTAAATTTTAGAAACGTTTTTATTCTGTTTATAACATGAACAGAATCTCTAAACACTAAATGTTGTAAGTCTTCATGACCATGACTGTTTTTCTTTCTTTTATCATTAGGGTATCCAAGGGGATGTAGGCATTCGCGGTACTTTGGGTTCAATGGGAGAGCGGGTAAGATTCCCTTTCCTTTACTTATGTCGCTTCCAACATTAGGAAAGGCCAAAATATCTAATGTAAAACAGTTCAACAATGTTTAACTAACCCCAGAAGGGAAATTACATTTTTCCAAGATTTGTGATTATTAAGAGCATGCATAGACAGAAAAATTAGATAAAAATAAAAACATTGGATGACAAACATCAGAAAGTTAAAGTGTGACTGGGAGAGGTGTCATTGAAATCTCCAGAAATTGCCATCAGTGGATTGTTTTTGTGAATGGGTAGCAACTTACCCCATGTTTTCACACACATTGTCAGCTGGAAACACACGTTACCTTTCTCAAAAGGCTCTCTGGACAGAGACTCACACCCAGCAGCTTCATATCTTGGGTGCAGAGATTTTTCTTCCCTGCAACATTTGCAGTACCACACCATCTGCTGCTAAAAAGCACATATTCCCTTCTCCTTACTAATTTCTGTCAGCACTCTTTAACTTCTGATACAGTACCAAAGCTGAGGGGAGTGGTCTTAATAGTTGTGCCTACAATCAGTCTTCAGAAAAAAAAAATTTCTTTCCTTATTTTACCACTATGTCCTTTCCAGCACCCCAGGGTTGTCCATTTTATTTGACAGTGATCTCACACTTACACAGATAAAAATTGGAAGAATTGGATTAAACATCCCCCTGCATGGTGTCTATTTTTTGCTGTTATACATTCACATCATGTCCTCTTCAGCTTAAAAACAGTTCTTATGTCCAAATAGTTACACGCATCTGAACAATAAAAAAAAAATAATAATAATAAATGAATATATATACTCCAGCAGCACAGTATGCAAACAAATATGAAATTATGACAGGTATAAAAAATAGTAATGAAAATTTGATGATGAGTTTTTTACACTGTTCTGTCAAGTAACTATCACTGTAAGATTTTTGTTTTCCTCTTGTGCATAAGGGAGAGCCTGGTTTACGAGGTTTACCTGGGCCTTCTGGGAAGCCAGGGCCTGTGGTGAGTGTCTGTTTGTTTTCTCATTAACTAATCCTTTTTATTTGCTCTCATTGAATTTAAACATCTGGCTACTATTAGGGTAAACAAGAACAGATTGAGGATTTTGCAAGAGATTGAACTGAGTCATCTGCTCAGGATGAAAAACTGTCACAGAATCTAGTCTAATTGCAGTACATGTTCAGCAGGCTTGCACTGGCTTAAAGGATATGGGACTCTGGAAGGTTACAATAATACATTCAGCTAAGTGAGGACAAATTACTTGCTTTGGGTTCTTGTCTATTTCTCTTTAACTTGGCACCAATAGCTCAGACTGAGCATCAGGTACAATCTTTTGTAACAGCAGTGCTTTGTAGTTTTAATTTACAGAAGTTGCTGAAATCTTTCAGCCTCTCTCACAATGAGGCTCATGTGATGTAACAAGTGGTTTGTTAAAATGATTGCAAAATCCCAAACACACATGATGTCATATGATGCAGAACTATACTCATTTGTTTATTACTGACAATAAAAAAGTATCAACTGAGATCAAATTCCTGAAACAATTTTTTTTTTAAAAGCTTATATCTGTGCTTTGCATGAGACTTGACTGGCTGTGGCTCTGTCATAAGATTAAATACATCTTAAACACTGAAACTTTCAATGTAAAAAAGAGAAGAGAGCATGCTTTCTTTTCCTGAATTGTATGCTATCTGTTTTCAGGGACCGCCAGGTCCTTCAGGAGAGAGGGGACCCCGGGGACCTCAGGTGAGCAAAAGCCTGAGAGTTCACATTATTTTTTCCCCTAAACATGTTGTCAGCTGACTGTAATGATTTAACTAATGTCCTAACATCTAAAACAAAGAGATACCAGATCTCGGTTCTGAACAAAGTTAGACAATTAATTAATAATGACAGATTTCAGATTAGCTTTTTGTGAGATAAGGAAAAAGATTACTAGATGATCTATTTGTGTAACTGGTTGCCCTTGGTTCTGAATAACGGCTTTCCTTCCCTAATGTATTATTTGTGTTTTCATGTAACAATAACTGACTGTCAATTACATTGCAAGGAAAGGTAAAGCTGTACAATTAAGGACAGCAAAAATCATTGATAAACAAAATGGTTGATATTCAGTCAAGCATTTAAATCTCCGATACAGGGCGCAACACAATATTTCATTTACATGCAAAGCACTGTGTTAAAATCCAACTCTGACAGAAAGTAGTGGAGAGAAAAGAATTGGCTTTAAAATGTGTGGGTTGATTTATGGTTTCCTTTGATAGAGAGATGAGATGTAATAGGCAGTCTTCCTTATAATACAGACAAACAAAGGTTGTTGTGCCTCTTACATTTTAATAGAGATACCAACTCAGCAAATTTGCAAGGAAGTTTTAGACTGACTAAGAGAGAGACAACACCCTTGACCACTACGATTAACAGCTGCCTCCACCTCCATACTGGAGAGGCAGCAAAGCCTATGACTGATGCTCATCTTAGTAACATGAATAGGAATATAATACAACATTGCAGCCCTGGACTGACTACTCCTTCTCGTCAAAGGTAAAACTGTCAGCGTCCTCTTTAGGTTTTAACATTATTAATTTGTCACTGCTTGACTTAGGACAGGTTTATTTCTGTACAGTACAGAGGACAGAAACGAATCCCAGAGGTTTTCTTCTAATTAAGTCAGGAGGATGTAGTATTTCCACCTGCTACGCTGCTCAGATGCCTGTGGTGCCATACACTGGAACAGATAAAAATTGGACATTACAGTGTGATATTTTTTTTTCAGGCAAAAGGAAACTGCATCCTCTAGTTATTTAACACTTTCAAAATCCAGTAATCCATATCCACACGATTTATGAAATGATGGACAGTGTAGAAATAGCATTTACATTTCTCATGTGTAAACTTATCTGGGCCATAAACATACTAATGGTTTTAAAGTCTCGGATTTGTATTTCTCACAGGGTCGGTCTGGGGATGAAGGACCTAAAGGGATACAGGGCCCAACAGTAAGTTTACTGGCTATGATAGAGATATGTCTGGAATTTTTAGGATTACATTTCCAATTGTTGACGTGGTACTGATTATCATAACAAAAACAACAACAGAACGTTTTGTACTGGTTATTAAATTCACACTTAGGAATGGGACTACTTAGGATAATTAGCCCAAATCCTTGTTTCTCATATAATAAGTGATAGATTAATAGAAACATTTGTAATAATTGCCAATGTTCTTTCAGCAAACGGTCAGCCCTCACTCTTACAACTGCACAGACAGAAAATGTATACCAGTACTAATCTAGAGACAGTATGAGGCAGAGCTAGAAAGGACAAAAAGGAAAACAGTCAGGATGTGTACACATGATAAACGAAAACATAAAACTAACTGAAACCAATCAACTTTGACACCATTATCCCTATTGCAACATCTTGACACTTCTGTGCTTGCCTTCTGGTTTTTTAATACATTTTTCAGGGCCCTCCTGGAGTTCCAGGTGCCAATGGTGGAACTGGGAAACCTGGACCAAGAGGAAGCACAGGGACCCCTGGGCCTCAGGGACCACAGGGGCCAGCAGGAATCCCAGTGAGTGGGTACCTACCACCAACTACTGTTTTGAACATCTTGGAGATCACCACTAGAATCAGTTTCTGTTTTACCTCAGTACAAGTTTCTGAAGTTTTACTTTATCTCAAAAGAGACACACATTAATACTGATAAGCACATTTGCTCGATCCCCACAGGGCCCAAGGGGTGCTGATGGATTACTGGGAACAGCTGGTGACAAAGGACAAAAGGTCAAATACGATAGATAAGACAATCATGGAATGCGAATAATTCATTGTAAATCATTTGCCTTCACTTATGACGAGATACTGAACTGACAATTAAATATCCAGGGTTTACTGGGACCACCAGGTGATGCAGGCTCCCCTGGGCACCATGGACCACAGGTAGGAAAAATGTTGATAAAAAATGCATCCATTTATCCATTTTTGAGCCATCAGGACATGTTTAATCTTTTGATGTCTTTCCTTTTACTCTGCACCATTGCACCTTTTGCAAGTCTGAAGTTTTGTGCCAACTGTTGTCAAATTTATACACTTTTAAAACATGAAAAGCTGAATCCTCACCCACATATGAACCTGATAAACCTGTCAGTTTTGAGCAAATAACATGAACAACTTTAAAAAAAAAAAAAAGGTAAAACAGCTATTATAAGATTCATTACCAGCAGAGTGTAAAACACATGACAGAACAAAATACAAGTGTATTAATTAAGGTAACTATCTCTTTAGGGCCCTCTTGGTCAGACTGGAATTGAGGGTCCACCTGGAAGGAAAGGAGATCAGGTAAGTAATAACATCTTCACTCATATATCTGTTTTCTCAGTGCAAAACATTATTCAAGATGCTCAGAAAAAAAACTTAATTTCTTAATTAAGTATAATTGTACATTTTGTCAGGAAACCCCCAACCCTATATGCAAAACTACTACGACTGAACTGAATAACCCTATTAAAGTGGCAAATGGAATTAGAAAAATAATCCTATCATCTTCGTAGGCCAGCCTGACCTTCGAAAAGCAGAAACTTATAAATTTGGACTTCATTATTTTATTATAAAACCTGTTCTAAAATAAAATCTGAATTAGTAAATCGATTTATATTTTTTTTCCAACTAAACAAGAATGAGAACAGGTTATGCTATTCACTCTTTAGCTGGTGTTCATAGAATAATTCTTAGTGTCAGATGCCATGCTTGGCTCTCTTTAGGATTCTCTTGCATTTCCAAACAGATGCAGCTTTCTCATAATTTAGGCTAAAGAGAATAGGTTCAAATAAAAACTGTTACTTATTCACTACATACTTCTGTTTTAATCTTTATCAGGGGGATCAGGGTCCTTCTGGAAAACCTGGTGTTAATGGGCCTATTGGAGAAAGAGGGCTTGACGGTGTAAAAGGCCAACCGGGACAACCTGGACTAGCTGGTAAAGAGGTGGGTACATGCTGTTTTTCACAGGCGTTGACACACATGAAAAGCTGATTTTCACCCAATACAATGACATGTTGACCTCTGAACATCCACCCTATAAACTTTTTTGACACCATATGACCAACTTTGCCGATGTCAGTCAGGATGTCAGACCATGAGAACATTTTCAGGGTCTTTTCAAACTATGTACAGAAATGTTCCAATGAAAGCACAAAATGATATTTTCCTCAAAAAGCACCATTGACTTTTGAGGCATTTTGTATCACTGTTGTGTAACAAATCAACGCTGGCATGGCTTCTCGCCACCACCGTACTCAGTTGGATGAAATATGTGCAACACGATCTATACAATGGGTTTCCAAATTGAAAATACCTCTAAATGACAACCTTTGGTGGAAATGCAGTCCGTTTCACTAATCATTCTCTATTGTCAACTATGTGCTATGTACGCTGTGCTGGTAGGTGGAGAAAGGATTTCCCTGTTTCACTTTGTGTTTTAAATGACATTTTTTCAGCCGAATAACTAATGTTAAATGCTGCCTTTCGTGCCTCTCAACCAATCAGGGCCTTTACATTAGGACCGCTTACTTTCAACAGAAAACAACAAAGGAGGACAGAATGGAGAACAGTACCAAACTGTTACCGGGACAATAAATTTCAATTCAAGACTCTTCAAAGCATCACAGTGTAGCATCAGTGTAGCATTGCAACACGGAATGTTCTTATCATCGGAGTCCTTCCAGTCTGAAATATCATATCAATTTAAAACGTGCTTTATTACCCCAGCAGCTGTAAATAACTTTGGGTTTTTATTTGATCTGAAATTATATGATTTGATTATATTTGTGTAAACATTTCTTACAAATATGAATAGAATACCACGGTAAAAGTACTTTGTTTGTTTAAATATTTACATTAAAAGTTATTTGGTTTTTAAAAAAAATAAAACAGTCATTTAGAATGTGATATAGATTAATGAATTGTGATTTAAATATGTGATAAATGCCTAAAATAATCAAAATGTTTATTTTTCCGAGTGGCGTGGAAATGAGTTAAGAATTCCACCCAGCCTTTACGCTGATTTTGCACATCTGTCACAGGGGGAATTTGGGCACCAAGGTGAATCTGGTGATCCTGGACCCAAAGGAGAGAAGGTGAAGTACTCATTCATTTTAGATTACATGTATGAAAATCTGATTCTACGTGAGGATCTCTTTGTTTGAAGTGTCTAATTACTGTGGTTGTTGAGGGCAGGGAGAGATTGGACTTCTTGGTTTGTCTGGTCAAGAGGGCTCCTGGGGGGCTATTGGAGAAAATGGTCAAAGGGGCCCAAAGGGGGAGAAAGGTTACATTGGACTGATGGTAAGCACAGAGGTAACACTTGACAGTTGAAATTATGTCAAAGTACTGTTACTTATTGTATTTAACCATTTTTGTTAATGTTGAATGTTGATTTTTTTTTTCCTTTAGTAATCTAGTTTAATGAAAAGAGAAAGATAAAAAATGAATTCATCTGACATAAATGTTTTACTGCAGCCCTTTATTGTGAAATAACCAGTATTTGTAGAAAGGATTGGCATCACCAAGCACCACTACAGGAGCATAAGTCTTAATAAGATTGAACATATCTGTGGAAAACCTCCTGATGTCATGTTCTTAAACAGGGTGAACCAGGGTCGATGGGTGAGGTCGGCCCACTGGGTCTCAGGGGATTTCAGGTAAGACATGTATAATCAAAGTTCTGTTTGAGATTATTTTTACAGAACTTGTCAAACCCGACATTTATAGGTCGTCTCAGTGACACTAACGTGTGGCTTTATCTTTTGTTTTAGGGTTCCACAGGTTCACAGGGACCTCACGGGCCTGATGGACCTCAGGGAGAAAAGGTAGTCATAAAAAAGGAAAATCAGTTTCCAGCATTTTTAAAATAGTTAGATCTTTGTAACTTGTTTTTGTTATGTTGTTTTATGGCCATTTCCACTAGTGCCTGCTTTGCACAGTACGGCACGGCTCTACGTGGTATTTTTTACGAACTTTGGCACCTACTCAGTCAGCCGGGGTTCCAGCAGGCTGTGTAAGGCCAATGACTAGATGGTTAGATGGTTAGATAGACTCCATCAGGTAAACCCTCCTATTTTAAAAATGGCAATTTTTAATTTTTAATTTTTTTCTGTGTTCAGAAATGCTGTAAATGCCTAGTACAGGACACAAACCGTGGTCCAACACCAAGGTTTAGTTGGTTTATTGTGGCCGCAATGTCATTAATTGTGGCATGTTTGTGTCATGTATAAATTGCGTCACGCGGTGGCCGGCCCTCTTTATGCTTGGTCGTAATCTGTAATGGAAACCCACCTAAACTGTTTATAGCTGTGGAACGCCAACCCGTTTAGGGCTGAGTAGGTACCAATAGAATGGGGAGCTCTTGTGTGTGTTGTTTTACCAGTAAACGCATCCATCCATCCATCCATTATCGTAAGCGCTTCCCTAATGGGGTCTTGGGGACCATTAAACGCATATGATAATATATATATTTTTAAAAACTTTTTAAAAAACCTTTTCTTTAATTTTTTTGTAATTGTATTATTTTTGTATGTACAGTTTGATTTTAAAAAATCTTAGGTTGCCCTCTTTCCCCCTGCTACCATTTTGCATTGCCCCATTACTGCAACAGCCAGAAATGACAAATCGAAGACTGACTCAAGAGTGGGACATTTGCATTTTGTCTTAACCCCGAAACCAAACTATTTAATTGTAAAGATGGTATGCAGTTGGTTGCAGTTTGTAGTATTACAGAAATTCTAGCAAAGTTATGTTTGGTTTCTTGTCTATTATTTTAAATTAGGCTCTCAATGTTTAAAAGTAGCAGAACACAGTCTGTTGCTCATCAGAAACATCGGCGTAGACAACATTATTTATATCTTTGATCTGTGGTTCCACTGCCTGTGACCCATCTAGGTTAGAAAATGTGTGTATATATATATCATTGTAACAACTTAGTAAGTATATTTAATCTATATCTGTCAATTGTCAAAAGAGTGTCACTAATGCATTCATATCCATCTCTTCAGGGAGAGTTGGGACTTGCAGGAATCCCAGGACCACCAGGTTCAGATGGTCCTCAGGTGGGTTTTTTACTTATTTATTTTTTTACTATTTTTGTGTTAATTCAGGACTTTAAATGTTTTCAATTTCATTGTGACTTCCGACTTCTTTTAAATTAACAGGGAGTAAGTGGACCACGAGGTGTCAGAGGAGACACTGGAAAACATGGATCACCTGTAAGTTTTCTTTGTAATTTCTTTGTACTTAGCACATTTTGCAATGTAGTAAAATAACATATAAAGATATCCTATACACACAAAACATGATGTATATATACCAGAGCCGGGCACATTAACACAGCCATCACTTACTGCTGACATTTAGTTTTAACTGGCAAGGAATACACTCACATACTTTTATACCTGGATCACAGAAATATTTGGATGATGATCGCTGTTGGCTCCGATGACAATCATCACACGTCTCAAACAAACATTATATTAAGACTGCTCACTTTCAACAGAAAAAAAATAGCGAGTCCCGATCTGTTACAGGGATGGAAAAAAAAGTAATCTTGTATGCATTGTAACGCTGTATTCTCTTATCATCGTAATACTTCCCCAGAGTCTGAAATATCATTTTAAATTCAAAACTAGCTTTGTTGACCTAGCAGCAGTAAATGATCTTCGGTTTGGAAATTAGTTTATCTGATTGTGTTTGTGTACACATTTCTTAAAAACATGAAGAGAAAATTGCAGTAAAAAGTATTTTATACGTTCAAATAATTGTGTAAAATGTTCTTGGGCTTTTTCCATAAAATGGTACTTTAAAATGTGAAATACACTGTGATATAAGTTATTACCTCATGTGCCCAATAATGCCATTAATTAAAAAAAAAAAAAAATCATACGATTAATTACTATAAAAAAATCAACATTTTACCAGCACTTATATATATGTCAAATATATTGGCAGTATATACTATCAAATATATCCATCCGTCCATCCATTATCATTACTGCTCATTCCCTTATGGGGTCGCGGGGAGAACTGAAGCCTATCCCAGTGGTCATTGGGCAAGAGGCGGGGTACATCCTGGACAGTCCGCCACTCCATCGCAGGGCACTTTCAAATATAACATTTGTTTGAATTATCTATAGTCATCTGATGCACATCACTCAAGGCTAAACGAAAGTGACTCTAATTCACATCACAACATATAGTCAGGGGTTAAATTGTTTCGTTATTAATCTTCAGTTTAAAAAGTTTTTAAAAAAGGATTTTTATTGTATTAGTTTGTATCACATTTAAAAAACAGCTGAAACAAATTATTTCTACAACAAATAAATAAATTGATTATTACTGTGACACAAATTAGGGTCCAGTCGGCCAATTTGGACGGCAGGGTGACCAAGGACCAAAAGGAGAGCCTGGAGAACAAGGGTTTAAGGGAGAGCCAGGAGCTCCAGGCCCACCAGGGGAACAGGTAAGTACTGTTAGTACTGTCACACATTACGTGGTTTATCAGTAGCAAATGTTGAAAGAATTATATCAGAAATAATGATTTTGTTTTCAGGGGGAGGATGGTCTGCCAGGAGTACATGGTCCTACAGGTCTTTCTGGGATTGAGGTAAATTTAAACTTCTACTGAGTAGTATATAATCAATTAATTAAAATGTATCATTTCACTTAGAAGATCACAGTACTAAAGATTGCATTAAGATTTTGTTGCCATTCTAACTTTGTCAGTTGCGCTTCTTCTAGGGACAAGCTGGGGCCATGGGATTCCAGGGCCTCCCAGGTCTCATGGGGACTCCTGTAAGTTTCAAGATATGTCAGCCGGGGGTTTTTGACAGCATATTTAGCACCTTTTAGTTGTAGGTTATGTTAAATACCATGAAAACCACAAAGTTCCATTCCAACTAAAGGGTTAAGGCATCAGAATTGGGGGAAAAACATGTATGAGGTAAATACTTTTGTAAATTATTGTACACTATTTAGCATTAATTTTGTGTTAAAGAGAGAGAGAGGGAAAGAGAGTGTTTGACTGTCTGAGGACTTATTGCCTGATCAACAAAGTAAAAACAATTTTTACTTGGTAGGGATTGAATGGAAAACCAGGACCTGAAGGGAAACGTGGCGTGAAAGGAGAGCAGGTAAAACTCTTAATAATAAAGTGACATTTTGTACATTTAGAAATTATTCAATGCAGTTTCTGGGCCTTATAGGAATGCCAATATCAAATATGTTAGAAAAACTATTTTCTTTTCAGTTACACATGTCTGTCACCATTTGTTTGTGCTCCTATTTCAGCAGCAGTTACAATTAATTAACGAAAAGGGGCATTACCATCCAGTTTAAACACCCTTTAAAAGGTGGAACTTGACATTTTGACCCTTATTAGAATGTCTACATCACTTTAATTTTTTTGCAGATGCTACATGTCTCATCATCTAAACCAATCTGTCCTGTGACGTAGTAATTTGATGTTTTTTCCTCACCACTTTGCATTTTACTCCCACAGGGAGATGATGGTCAGATTGGCACACCAGGGAATACTGGTCACACTGGAAGGAGGGTAGGACCACCCTTCTTTCTTGAATACCTTTCATGAAAAGGGTTCTTTGAAAACCTTAGCATGTCATATTGTGCATCACAAAAATATATCAGTGATGAGCACAGTAAATACTGTTTGTAATATTTACACAACTTTTTTCAGCTTTGACAAAGATCCTTTATTTAGACAGGAAAATATACATTGCAATTTATTTAATAATTTCTTTTTATATAACTAAAAGTAGCTAAAACCGGTTCTCTGACCGTCAGTTAATCCCTTGGTATAAATAAAGTGTCTATAAAAGACCTATAAAACATACCCTAGTTGCAATTTGTGTCTTATCTATTATTGTTCTGATTTGTTAAAACATAAAATCCTCCACAGGGAAAACGAGGGAAGGCCGGAGTCAGAGGTAACAGAGGAGACAGAGGATCAAAGGTGAAACAAGAAGTAAACAAGGGGATTTGTACTAATGTATATATTACAACATGTCCACCAATAAAATTGTGTTTGTGTTTTGTCATTAAGGGTGAAAAAGGGGACTTAGGACCTGTTGGCCTTCCTGGGTGGCCAGGGTTCATTGTAGGTCGAGTTCTAGCAATCATTGACATTTTACAAGAGTTTATTTTATCAATGAACTGATGATCTTTTCTCTTTTTTTTCACCAAGGGACCCCCTGGTTTACTTGGAGAGCCAGGGGATCAAGGTGAAAAGGGGAAACAGGTAAACAAGAGTTAATGAATCTTAGACAGACTCAGGAAAAGATTAGCTCTGACCCTGACACAATCTGACAAGATTTTCTCTGTCAAACCAAAAGATGCTCTGTTTTCTTTGTAATTTGTATGAAAGTATAACATGACAGTAGCAGCACAAACTGTGAATAATACAAGGGCGAAGTACGACAAACATACGGTTTACGGTGATACTGTATATAAAATAAAAATGGTTTTAAATACAACTCTGCTGCATTTTAAACCATAATATGCTTTCTCCAACCTGTCTCAGTGTCTTTCCTAGTTTACTTGTAAATGCAAGCCTGAGATGACAACGCCACTGAGAAGAAATACTTTTACGTAGAGGTCAAGTTTTAGCACAGTGAATATAAGAGCTACAGCGCATTCACTCACTCTCACTTCACATGGTTTTAAGTATTATTCATTTATTCAGGCCAAGGATGATGTAAAAATAGGTTTGTGGAATCAACACAATATGCAATTGCTGTTCAATTGCAAAATTAACTAGTGACTTCCTTGTTTATAGGATTATTTTGTTGCCAATATGAAGTGCTGAAATCTTTCTTACAAAAATTGACGACTGTATTTTTCAGTTACTTTTGTAAAATGCATTCTAAAGTTTTATTTTTTACTCTTCTATTCTTTTGCTCCTTGGCAAAATAAGGGCACAGTTTCTGTCTGGAAAATTCAGGTCTGGCGCTTATGCCAATGATTCACTTTTATGATGACCAGTGGAGTTTTTACTATGAACACCTTCTCTGTCCACATTTTCCTCTATTCTGTTCCACTGTGTTCACCAGCAATTCAAACTGCAGATATATGTTATTGAGTAGCAGCAATAGAACCAGAGTTTTTAGCTCCTTTGGACTTTGTCATGATGCCATTTGTTGTTGAGCTGTTAACAAAGCTTTAATGCAGCATTTGTGTCTTCAGGGTGAGAAAGGAGACATGGGACTGCCAGGACCATCTGGAGGTGATGGCATGAAAGTAAGCTATGCCATGATTTAACACCTTAAAAAAACACATAATGTCTAAATGGCAAATGACAACATCAAGTAAGTTGGTAATTTGAATACGTGACCAATAATGGCCAATTAATCACCACATCAGTATTTTTATAACAATGACAGGAAAAACTGAAAACAACAAATGACAAACAACAAGAATTTTATATCAGGTTTTGGTCCAACAAAAAAGTACCTCTACTTTGGTTTTACTCATCTGGTGTGTTTGAAAACTAGAGGTATAAAGTCAATGATATGTTGCGATTTTGATTATCAGGGTATCCGTGGTGCCTTCGGATTAGCAGGACCAATGGGCCTTAAGGGAGAACAGGTATGCAATATAACAAATTTACAGAATTGTTCACTTTGTATCTTGACCCATGTCTGAGTTCTGTGAGGATTTCATTTTATGAAGACAGTTTTGCTCATCTGTCTACAAGTTATAATTGAGAGCAGTTTAAGACTATGTATGTGTTGCTAGTTGTTGACGCCAAAACAGGATGTATATCTCCCCTATTTCTTTATGTCATTTATAGGGAAACATTGGTCGATCAGGTCAAAGGGGTAGACCAGGAATGCCTGGAATGCCTGTAAGTACCCTCAAAGAGACATCTTAAAGTGTGTAACAATAAGTGCAATCTGTTGGCAGAAGTGCAAGTAATTACAAATTTGTGAAGATTTGGGGTGAAAATAAAATCTGTGTTTTCATTACAGTGTATTTAAAAAATGTATTTATTTTTTGCTCAGGGAAGACAAACCAAACACTAACGCAGGCTTTTTGCAACATTTCTTTCGCAGACCATTTGATATCCAGCCAAGCTACATTTTCATTCACACTACAGTATGTGCTTCATATTTGGGCAAGAGTGCAGGGCTTTCAGTTTTCTGGTAAAAAAAAAAAATCTGTGCATCTATCCCAACAAAGCAAATGTAACTTTAAGAGTGTCGTATAGAGAAAGAAGAAAATGCATTCTTCAAGTTCTCTGTATTTTTACTCGGAGGGTTTCAATTGCCAAATTATGCATTAGTCACATAAAAAAAAGAGAATGATGGTGGTTCACCATTTCTTTAGTGCAATTTTCACTATGTTAAATGAGCATACTAATAACTTCTCTCAGTTCTCGCAACACTTTTTACAGCAAGTATGAAAAATTGAATGTGCATAAACTAAAGTGCATTACCAATAAATGTAATTGGTGATAAAGAAAATCCATAAACTTAATCAAATCCTTTGCTTATATGAAACAGTGAAAGAATAGCCAGACTTCATAGTATTTCCATGACCCTGTTGGGAATAAGTGGTTTAGATTGTATGGATGGATTATAGTTTTTACGTCACAACTGTTGAACTTTGCTGCAAATAGTGCAACACCTTGGCATTTTTCAGTGTTATTTGCAGCTGGATCAAGCCAGATGGTGTTGGCATTTTAAATGATTTAATGTCAGTAAGTCATTCGAACAGGCTGTAAAGTAAAATCTTTAATCATACTTTACAGCTGAGTCACACGCTGAAGATGCTTGTTCAATTAATTTGATCTATTATTCCCACTCCCACCTCTTTTACTAGTTTTTGTGAATTAATCTGGAGTGTTTTATACAGATTTTAATGAAGAAGTAAATCTGTCGCTATTATTTATTATGGATAGTTTTTAAAGACCCCAGTAACTTGCAATTCTATTAAGGTGAAGACTTTCACTTGTTATCCAACTGCTCTTTTCATGGGCCGCCAGCATGTTTATTTTCCAAGAGCTCAGTAATTCATTCATTCATTTAAAACTCCCCATCAATCGGGCAGAGCTGAAACAATCTTTAAGAAAGTTGGAACGTTTTAATGACAATACAATTGGGTGAACTTCAGCCAGTAATTCAACGACCCTAGAAGTCAGCTTGTCTGGCATTGAATCTGAGAGATGCAGATATCTTCTTTTGTTTTTTACCAACTAACACCCCTCCAAGAGGATTTTGTTCTTGCTTTTAAATTGTTCTGCAAGATTGCCAAGTTTCATCTAATTTAATTGGCTGTGGCTATGGGGCAACACCAAAAGGTGATGCTGTGGGGTAAATCTTCTTTTGAAAATCATAGATTGCCAGTAATAATTCATTTTACGCATCTCGTTGATACGTCCACAAACAAAATGAGTTTCCTTGAGCATGTTCAGGCAACCACAAAGGCGCTTTAATTGCAGAGGAAGATAAATTGAAAACTACAGATACAATGAACCTTGACCCTAAAATTCAAGTCTGTGCCTTTCATTCAAACATCACCTAAATGTGTAAGAATTTTTCAGAAAAATAATTTCCTGTACAAAATCTTTGACAGTGAAACACTTCATGAAGTGTCTTATAAAACATTCTGTCCTTTTCTCCAATCTTTTGCAGGGTTTGTTTGGATTGAAGGTAGGATTATCATTTTATTACTGAACATCAAACACCCTTCAACTAATCTCTGTTTGAACGATTTGTATGGAAATATAACAGATTTATTATGTGTTATGATATAATTGGATCTCTCAAGACCCTTTATTTCCATGCAGGGTTTGAAAGGTTACCAAGGTCCACCTGGACTACCTGGAAAGAAAGGGCTCCCAGTAAGTTCCCAAGAAAGGATGAAATAAACTCTGAAATAAACTGTGTTTAATTTACATATTACTATGAAACAACAAATCATGTATCCAGGATTTAGAATTTTAAAAAATCTTTAACCAAGGGAAATAAACAAATATGGTTATATATTGGCATTAACAAGAAACTGAAATGTTCAACTTTATGCAATATACCTTTTGGTTTTTCTTACAATTGATGCCAAATGTCACTTACATTTATTCCAACAAATCAAATCCTATTTTAATGCACTTGCATTGATTTAATCTTTCTGTGAATTTCTTTTGACACGGCCAAAAATGTTCGATGTTTTTTTTAGGGTCCACCTGGCCCTCCTGGACAACGAGGACCGTCACTGAACATGACCTTAGTTCAACTTAAGGCGAGTTAATTCTATACATTTGCTATGACTCTGATAGTAATTTATTATTTGTGCTTTGATTTGACACTGGACCAAAGTGAATATACTAAAACATAAATTAGCGTTTATCACATAAGTGAATGTGATAGAAAGATTTTGGTCTGATCATATGTTCAGTTTTCAGTACTTTTCTGAGCAATAACATATTTTGCCTTGAAGACTGATGGCTGGATCAGCATATTCAGTGGAGTAAAAGGCACTGCTGCCGGCCTTCAAGAATCTGTTTGTTACTGAATTTGTGTAGCCAAATCTCCTTAGCTGTTGTACATGTCAGAGGTTTAACACCTCTCCTGTCCTTTTTTCAGGGAGATTTATATAATGTTACATTACTTTTTCCTTCAGAGAAGCTTGGTACGTCGTATGAACAATGTGTATAAAGGTGCTGCTCTCACCTCATAAAGTTTGCCCTGAATACACTTACCATCTTTGGCTTCCTCAGACAGACTTCTTTCATTCAAACAAAACAAAAAAACAGTGACTATTAAAATATGATGATGTTATATTTCCATCTACATTTTCAAACATGTTCTTTTTTTTTGGTTCCCATGTGCAGGATCTGATGTATGTATCCGACAAGCCTAACTATCCCCTGATCCAGACACTGCTGGACTCTCTGCAGCAGGACTTTCGGCTGCTGTTGGATCCCCCTGATGGCAGCAAGGAGCATCCTGCAACCACCTGCCTGGAACTCTGGCTCTGCCACCCTGAGTACACCAGCGGTAAGAATTCTTTATAGAATAAAGCCACATTAAAATACTGAATTTTGAAAGTCACTCAAAGACCTTGAGTACTGGACCTTGTTACGGATATGTCCATTACTAATTATATTAAGTACAATTTGTCAATAAGATGTATTAATATGCAAATAACACCTTATATGTTTTGGTGTTTGTTTCTTTTCCTGACTATTTGGCAAGCAATATTGGGGTTTGTGTGAAGACTCCTCAGGGAATGTAAATCAAATCATAATCATACTTCTTTACCAACACAAATGAAGACATTATTCATTAGACAGCTTTCATGGTTTTACTTATCTTTGATCATGATTACTGTACAAAACTGCTTCTTAGGGCAATTTATCTTACTCATATTTTTAGAGCAGTCTTGTCATAATTTCAGCTCCCAAACCATAAACATTATGGAGAATTGAACAGAATGAACTGTAAGAATATTTTTCCTCGCTTTGGATTTCTACAGTCTACCCTAGTAAACACACAAGCACTGGTATAGTCACGCCTTCTCTCATTTATTCATCTTCTTTTTAGATCTGTAATTGACTTAAGTTAGACATAGTTGAGTGTGAAAGCTTTCAGGATTTCTGCTATTGAGGCGGTTTACCATAAACATATGTAGCTATTTACAAAAAAGAGTGCATCCCGTTTCAGTTTTCACGTTTATGCATTGAGACACTATACAAATCATGTTATAGTTAGGCAAATGCAAAGACAAATTAACACAGTGTTGTGAATTATTAAAGTGGTTCTGCTCCTTAAAGTGGTTCTGCAAAATCTAAAGTTCATAAATTGCTTCTGACTTGGTCCTTATGAAGTTCATAATGTCCTGCTCTATATATAATGTATGTGCTGTTATTTGGAATCTGTATATGTGACAGAGGGTATCCTTTTGTGAAAATATTGCTCATGTCTTGCAGTTAGAATGGATTATGCTACTTTGATATCATGAGCTCCAACCAATGCTTACCTTTACAGGAATGTATTACATTGACCCCAATCAGGGTAGTTCAGCCGACGCTCTGCTAGCCTACTGCAGCTTTTACTCCTCGTCAAAGCAAACCTGCCTTCATCCTCGAGACTCTCAGGTATGTGCTCAACTCAAGTGGGCTATAAGTGAATGATGCCTAATGTAGACCTTGCCTAATTAGCCTAATTTAATGACTAATCAGTGAAAACACACTTTTCTAGTGAAACTTCTCAAATGGTGATTTGTTCATGCAGCTTGTGACTTGCTTGAAATATGTTCTTTCCTACTTAAACCTGGTAAATATTAAGAGTGGTGTGGTCATAAAAAGGAAAAGATCACTAAAACTTTTTATTTGATGATGTATTTTATATTCCTAGGAGATGTCTCACCAACAAGTTCACCCAATAAAATCACTGCTCCCAAACAATGAGGATAGAAAAATTAAAGGGCCTCAATCAGGATGAATAATAATTAAACAACCGTAAATATTACAATTATAGTCCATAGTAACCACAGACACTAAATTCCCTTTTGTAGCACTTGCAGTCTGGTCTGCAGTCTGCAGTCAATTTTGCCAATGGAAATTTACTCATCCTTTTAAGTAAAAACCATAAAAACTACTCAGCTTTAAGAAGCTGGATGGCTATGCTGGTAAGCAGCATTCTTTATAGTTATACTAGTTATATAAGTTATACTAGGTTTGTAAATCAAATTGAGGTTTTTGACCCATTGTAAACACTTCCATGATATTAAAATGTTTACACAGTAACTAATGAAATATTGAAAGATGGACCTTAATCTGTGTCAATGGTTTTAAAACAGTTTTCCAGCTTCCAGTAAATTTTCCTGTTTATGTTTAGCATCATCTGCCATGTGGGACATTTTGCATTTCGTTTCATATTACTTAAATTTGCTTATATACTCAATACACTAAAGTACCCGTTTCAACATGAGTGTCCCAGATGCTAAATGGGTATACACCCTGGCATTATACACCCTGGAGGGTCCTCCGGTCTTAATTTTCCTGAAAAGACATTTATGCTTAGTGGCTCAAACATGGGAGAACAGACTCTTGAGGCCTTCTTCTTTGTGAGAAATGTCCAAAGTCCAAATGCAAATGATCATTTTGTGTATTTCTGTTATCATGTTATTAAGGTAACCATAACCAATTAGCAGCATGCTGATTAGCATGCTTAAGTAGATTTCTTAAGCGCTGTCTGAAAATGACAAACCTCTAAGCACAGCATCCATCTACCAGAGCAGGGCTTAAGTTTTAATCATGTAATCTCTCTTCTTTTCCAACAGCTGCCCATGAAAGCATGGATGGAGGAGTATTCTGAAGAGGGATCTTTTCAGTGGCTGAGCAAGCAAGATGAAGGATTTCAGGTGATTGTGTGTTTTTTGAGAAAACATCACCACAAAATCTAATTACCAGTTCTTCGAATCTTAAGATTTAAAAAATTTAACGCCACTAATTTGCTCTCTCATCTGGTGTAGGACACTTGTGCAGTGCTGATATCAAAGTTTGTTGTTTTGCTGAAACTAGATTGTCTCAAAACATAATTAATGAAACCATATAATGTGAGGATAAATTTAAAAGTGTCTATACAAGGGAAAAGGGAATACAAAATGTAGGATGTTGACGAATAATTGTATGTTTTTCTTTTCCAGATTTACAATTAATATTTGTACAATGTCAATTGTATTTTCATTAGTTTGACTACCCCGGCGCCAGTGTGGTCCAAATGCGTTTTCTGAGGTTGCACAGTATTACCGCGGTACAGACGGTGATCTACTCCTGCCATCCAGGACACAAACTGGGCCAAATGGACAGAGAAGTGAAATTCCTCACTGATACAAGGAAGCAAAGTTATCTTGGAATGCTGATAGATTGTGTGGTATGTAAAAGAATGACATAAATCCAAACCTGCAGGTGTAAGAAGTATTAAATTACTCTGAATATATATATATATACTGTATATATACTGTATATATACATATATATATATATATATATATATA